CACATTTTTCTTACCTGGTACATATTTCACTATGAACGAATACGCCTGCATGGCCAAAAGCCATCGCTCCAGCTTCTTTGAGCCGGCCTTAGCTAGCCAAGTCAAGGGCTCGTGGTCTGTGTATACCGTAACCGTCAAGGGGTAGCCGATATGGTAGTGTTGGAAGTAAATCAGGGCTTGTAGGATACCGTATGCTTCCTTCTCGTATGTATGCCAATTGAGCTGGGAGCCCGTCAACGTCCTACTGAAAAATCCCAAGGGCCTTCCTTCTTGCATAAGGACAGCTCCAATGGCATAGTCGCTTGCATCAGTATAGAGCTCGAAGGGGGTACCGAAATCAGGGTAAGCTAGGAAGGGCAGGGCTGCGAGACGAAGTTTGAGGGCCCGGAAGGACTCCTCTTGCTCTTGTCCCCAGTAGGTATCCAAAGCCAAAGTTTCACTTCCGACCTCCGACACCAGCCGTTGAATTGGTCGTGCCACGTCCGAGAAGTTAGGGACGAAGTTACGGTAGTAGCCGGCGAGACCCAAAAAGGACCTTACTTCTGCAACATTACCGGGGCGAGGCCATCTTAAGATTGCCTCTACCTTAGTCGGATCAGGTCTCATACCGTTCCCGTCAAAAATGTGTCCTAAATAGGGCACAGAAGGGCAACCGAACTCGCACTTCTCGGCGGACAACGTCAAGCCCCACGCACGCAGGCGTGCGAAGACTTGTCTCAAATGGTCTTCGTGAGTCTCAGCATCGGGCGAGAACACGAGGATGTCGTCTAGATAGACCCGAACAAAGGGTAGTCCATTAAGTACTTGGTCCATCAGACGTTGAAAGGTGGCTCCAGCGGAGCAGAGTCCGAAGGGCATGCGGACCCACTCATAGAGCGGAAAACCAGGGCCAGGGCAAAAAGCTGTCTTATGAATATCCTGAGGACGAAGAAGGCACTGCCAATAACCAGACTGTAAATCAAGTGTACTGAACACCTTCGAACCCGCTAAGTGCTCTTGTACATCATCAGGACGAGGCAGTGTGTACGAATCAACCTCCGTAAGGGCATTCAACGCACGAAAGTCGATACACATTCTCACTGAGCCATTCTTTTTAGGGACATAAACGCACGGCGAACGATACGGAGATGTACTAGGGCGAATCATTCCTTCCTCCAACAGTTTATCCACAAGACTCTTGACTTCATCCCGCCATTTGTGGGGAATCGGTCGTGGTTTCTGGGAAAAGGCTTATCTGACTTTAATGGTATAGCATGCTCA